ACATCACTGTTCAATCATTCTAAAAACATTAGGAAGAGCAGAGCGCCATAGCATTATGAACAGATTATGAACAAAAATAAAAGCCATTTGTATGCATTAATGATACATCAAGCTAATTCAAGCTGGCAAAAGTCATTAGGGGAAAATCCTGGGGCAAAACATGGTACTGATGCCGAGGCACAGACTTGGATTAAAATAACCATTTTCTATGTCATTGATAAAATTAATTCTATGAGCCTGGGATGAGTCTTAACATGAAAATCAAAACAGAGAGCAGTTGCTAATAGTGTGCTTAATGATCGAATTCTGGCAGCGTGAGAGTTGACACAGACATTTCTGCAGATACGAGCATCCAAGTACAGAGCGTTTCCCAGAAGAGGCACAGCATGATGAATCCCAGACAAGTGGTGACAAACTGTCAGGACAGACCATGGCCTCCATTTCTATACCACCCTCCATGCAATCAAACAAAAAGTTGCTTTTGTCTCTGCCTGCAACAGGGCTCCGCTGTCTTCCTACTGTGTGCCACTGTAGCAAACGCTGGGGATGGTGAGCTTAGGAAGAAGAAAGGTTGATGTGGGCTCAGTTTCAGAGTTGTACTCATGGCTAACTGGTCTCATTGCTCTGCCCTCAGACGAGGCTGGCACGTCCCTCTGGGAGCAGGTACTGAGTCACGTGACTAGAATGGAAATGAAAGCAGAAGGTACCATTGTCTCACCTTCCCTTCAAGGTCTTGACGCCCTCTTACCAGGCCCCAGACCCGAAAGGTTCCAATTTTCCAGTAGTGAAGCTGCTGGCCAAGATGTTAACATAGGGCTACCTCCAGGACACTTCAGATCCAAAGAAAGACAGAAAATGCCTTTCCTCAAGAGTGACCCATGACGAGATGTGAGGCTCACAAGCATGTTACAGTCAGAGTAGGGTACATTGTAAGATCCTGTCTTCAAACAAAACCAAAAGAACCGGAGCTGTCACTCAGCTCTGGGTTGATATCCAGTACCACATAAAGGAGGCATAGAGGCTTGCACCTATAATTCCAGCACTTGAGAGGTGGCAGGAAGAGGATCAGGAGGTTAAAGTTCATCCTCTGCTACATAGTCAATTCAAAGGCAGCCTGGACTACATGAGACCCTGTCTCCAAAAGAAGAAAAGAATGACCTGACCCAAATCATTAAGGCAGCAGCTGTTGTCTGGACCACAGACATTAGCAATCATTACAACAAGACCCACTGAAACATGTCCATTTGCATGGGTGACTTTAGACAAATCAGCTAATAAGCTAAGGAATGAGTTCTTTAAAAGGCCATCCTCTGAGCCCACTAAACAGTCCAATGGACCAGAGATAAAAATGGCAGCTCCAATAAAAATGGGCATATTCACGACTGAAATGATTGAAATAATAACATCCAGAAACTCTTGGCTTGCTCAAGGATGATCACCTCAGACAAATCCCAACTCACCCTGGAAAAGTTCAGTGTCACTTGAACTAATGTCATCCTAACATAAGCCTATTACAGAGCATATCAAAATCTCCACCAGACACGTGGCTACTCCAAGGGCATGAGCTTAATTACAGCATAACATGGATGTCGGGATTTTAGAATTAAAAAAAAAAAAAAAAAAAAGAAAACCTATTCGAGGTTTTTTCCCCTCCTTTTCATTTTTAGAGTCTCTGGATATATGTTTTATTACACAAAAGCTTATGTTTGAGTGTTGATACTAGTTATTCAGTCTGTGGTTGAACCCTCTCGTATGAGGCTACTCTAGGTTAGGAAAGTTACTGGATTTGAAGGTGCACATGCATACAAAGGTATCATGTCTGATAAAAATGGTCTCTGTAAAATGTGTATGTATGCAAGGGCTGGAGAGGTGGCTCAGTGGATAAGAACATGGCCTTTGAACCCATGTTCAATTCTCATTACCTATGTGGTAGTACAAACCATCCGTAACTATAGTTCAAATGGATTTGAAACCTTCCTTTGGCCCCTACAGGTACCAGGCATGAAAATGGCACATAGACATACAAGATCCACACACACAACAATAAAAATTAATTAAATCACATATACACAAGCTACAGCACAGAGAGAAGAGAGGTCCACTCTGACCTACTAAGCTTTCTCCCACCTACGGCTGGATCAGACATGAGCAGGAGACCGGTCCCCCGGGGGAGGGCTCCTGAGCCATGGGACTGCCTGGGAGGCAACCTGCTGATTCTCATTTCTATCGGATTGTACTGTGTGAGGTGCTAAAGAAAGCCACAGACACTCACTGTTGATAGTGACAAGGTGGCCACCACACATCTTAGGAAGCATCTGAGGAGGCTCGCTGGCTAACTCTAGAGTTGACACGCTTTCTGTCTCTCTTCCCACTCCAGCAGTGTACGGCAGCTTTCTGCCTCCCTCTTGGTAAGTTCTGAGATGCCAGACCCCTTTAACCAAGTGTCACTGAACATCAGACCTGCTCCATCCTGCCCCACCACAAAGCCAATCCTTACTGTTGTTTAGGAGACCCTAGTCCCAGCTAGGACAAGTCCAGGGGTTTCAACACTGAGGATCAGTGATCACTGTGGGGGACAGGAGAATTGGGGGTGACATGGAAAAGTGTAGGAATGTACCAGAAATGCCAACTTTGTGGGACACCAGAGGTATCACGTAACAATGGGAAAACCAAAGAGAGCATGTTAACAGAGCCTGGCCCATTAGCTCCCCTTTCCAATTAGATTCAATGTCTCAAACACTTCCAGGTCATCTATGGCTGGCTAGCTTGCTTCCAAAGACTGAAAAAAAAAAATCTTACTTTAATGTATGGTTTTGCCAAAACACATTTAGCTTTTCATAAACAAAGGAGAAAACCAACAGTAACAGAAATAGCTAAGTAATAACCCCTCTGCCTCCCAAATGAGGATGAAGCTGACTACAAGAAAGGATTAGGCAGGCCTGAGTGACAGCTCTGAAACAGTGCCAACAAAGGGCCACGGCATCAGAGTAACAAAATGGGCCTGAGATTCTGTCTCAGGCCCAGACAAGGACCTGCACTGATGCTACAGCGGTGTCATCAGGCTACACAGCGCAGCTGCCCTGCTCTGGAGCCTCAGCAATTAGGACAAGGAGGCTGCAGATGTATGATACGGGGGTGTTTCTATGTGTACCAGGATGCTCAAGTGGGAGCAGTAGATATAAGGTAAGCTGAGGCCTCCTATGTACCCCATAACCAGGAAGAGGCAGTGACTTCTCTCAGCACAGGTTCCCAACCAGTATTTTCATACAGGTGAGCTGTCACTAGGCAGGGACAGAGGTAATAGAACGGCTAAGAACTGCTTTCCCAAACAGTAACTGAAGTATAAATGAATCCCTGATAGGATGGCGGAGTTAAATTAGATAATTGTTGCACAGCTTCCCAGAATAAGGACACTCTGACAGATGCTTGTCAGCCACCATGATAGGTATCAGGCCACACAGGAAGGCCTGGCAAGTGAGGGCCAGGACCTGACCAAGGGTGTTCAGAACCTTCTGATCTCTAGAAGCAGGCACTCAGCTAGGTAAGCCTGTGATCCTGTCCAGGGCTTTCCAGTCCTTCAGTCAACTTGGTCAGCTCATACAGGTGCTTGGGCCATGCAACAGTGAATGTGAACTTTGCTGTGTGTCAGAGTCCACAACTTGGAAAGACCACAAGTGTTACCTTGTTAATCTTTACAGCTCCCTGGTTATGAGGGGAACAGCCAACCCCAGTGCAACTCATGCCATGAGGCTGACAGCAGGGTGGCTGCAACTGTGTGCTGCAGGCTGAGGTGCCTAAGGAGGCCCAGGATGCATGGGAATGGGGAAGGAAGTCAGGCCCCAGAGACACCATGCTGGTTCTCAGGGCATCTTCAGCTTCCTTGGATTTGGCACAGTTTCTGTTTTCGGAGTGTCATGCTGCCTAGGCTAGCCTCAAACCTGAAATGTAGCTAAATTCCTGGTCCCCCTGCCTCTACCTCCAAGTGCTGAGGTTACACTGGTGTGCCGCCACACCTGGTTGATGGAGTGCTGGGGGTAGGTTTTAGGGCTTCATGCATGTTACATAGGCACTCTGCTGAGTAAACTGCGCTCTCGGCCCCTGTCCCCAGACTGTATCACTGGCACCAAGTTTTCTTCAGGGCTTTTGACATTTACCCTTCTGTCAGGACCCCAGCCTGTCCCAGTCTGCTCCCCGCCAATCTCCAACACAGAAGCAAGGGGACAGAAGTGGCTTGCCACATGGAGATTAGACCAAAGGGCTTCAAATTGATTTTCCCCAACTGCCACCAGAGCTAGGAACTTTCTTGGAGTACCCTCCTAAGACCTCAACTCTAAGCCCACTTAGAATTTCTAGTCCCCGAGGCTAGAGGCCACCGCTTCTTTTTGTCCTGTGTTAATACAGGTTTTTTTCATAAACTACAGCTGGCATCACCATTGGTGACATGAATATGCCCCCTTTGGTAGGGCCAGAAGCTCTGGCATGAGAATTACCCCCGCCCACCGAATTCTACTTTCCTAGAGGTGGGAAGTCAATAATAATTCAGTAAGATAAAACAGCTCCTCAGGCTGGCCACACTCTTAGCCTCCAGGTTTAACTTTACTTTCCGGGGTTCAAAGTTGACTCTCTCAGTTTAATCTCCCCAGGGCCAAGTGTCAAATACTTAATTTTCCCTTTCATCTTAAAGACAGCCTGAGCAAGAACAAGCAGTTACAAGCAAGAATCTGCATACGGTGGAGCGGCAGAGCTCTTAGGAGCTGTGTATCTATGCAGGGCGGGCTGCAGTGTGACACACACATGCCATCGAGGACTGTTCCACAGTGTCCCCTCCTCTTCCAAACACAGCTCTGAAAGGGGAACCAGGAGCTGCCCCATGCCACAACACTGACGCCTCCATACTGCACGGTGGGCTTCTGTGCCCGCAGCCATGTGTAGCTGCCTGCTCTTCCACAGTGGGAGTCTGTGTGTCCCAGGGCCCGGGCGGCCCCAGGCTGGGCACTTACCGTCCTGGAAGACCCGTTCCACGTTGAGCCCATAGGTGGCGCACGTCTCGTAGTAGGTGCAACGCTTCAGGTCGTTGGAGAGCTTCCGTGCCCTGGCATCATCGATGACCCTCGGGTTGGTGGAACTTATGGCATCTGCAACAGACAAGGCCAGTGTGCTCATTCACGATTGCTTCCCACAATTCCAGAGCCCATGAGACTCAAACCTGCCCCCCAGCCAGGTTGCTTTCCACAGTTCCGGGGGCCCCTGCAACTCAAAAACCATTACAGCCAATGCAAATATCATCCCTCCCAGAAGCTGAAATTATGAAAATACTTCACCCCAAAATAATAAGCTCAAGCTACAGAATGGTGGGGGGCAAGGAGGCCCACACTTGTCCTGACATTTGGGAGGATTGAATTCGAGACCAGCCTGGCGAGACCCGTAAACCTATCCTTTAGGCTTGGTGTGTCTCAAAAAAAAAAGAAAAGAAAAGAGAAAAGCAAAACCAATGTGTGATTTGGGACTCGCAGTGTCCATGTGACAATACTGTCCCCAACAGAGGTTCCTCAGATACAGTCCATGAGAGAATTCTTCATCTGTCTTGCCGGACAAGTAAGTGCAACTTACAAGGAGGGAAAGTGGTCCCTTATAAAGGTCTAAACATTCCTTTAAGTAAGTTAAAAGGAAAACAATTAGAAACCATAATTTCTCAAAGCCTGTGTCTAATTTGGGAAGCACAGGCCATCTAGCCCCCACCTCACTCACATTCTATCCAGCCTGGGGCCCCATCAATCCCACAGCTGCTCCACACACAGATAGATGCAGTTCTGCCTGGGTGTCACAGAGGTGCCTCTGGGCCTGCAGCTCAGCTCGGCTCTACCTTGCCCCATCTTGCACCCACTTTAATTTGGCAATTTTCCTAATCCTGTTTCTCCTTCTATTTGCAAGTCTTTGGGGGTAGAGCTGGCCTAATGAGCACTGAGGGGCCCCTCGCTCACCCATGTGTCCCTGCTATGAATAGGCATAGCATCCAGCCCTGAGCTCAGTAGCTCTCCCAACATTGGCCTCCTACAGGCTAGGTATTCCTAAGGGTGGATGGCTCTTCAGTCCTTTCTCACACCTTGACAACCTCTGGCCTCTAAAACCCTATACCCCAGCCAGCAGAAAAGAAACCTCAGATACTTTCTCAGACACCTGAGTAGCCTTACCGCCTATGTCCCTAGTGGTGGCATAGATGTCTCAGGAGCCCATTGTGCACAACTCAGCACACGGCTGCTGACAGCAAATCATGGGAAAGCCACACACACAGTCGAGCTTCCTGCCAGGTGCTCTGTGTCCCTTAGCCTATCACTAGCAAGGTCTAAGCAGGGCCTGAGAATAACTGGTTCCACATTGACATGCCAGAGATAAAAATAAACCTCAATCAAGGTCAGGTTCTGTGTCCTGTGTCCACTGACTGACCTTGACATGTGACTACATGCCTTCTACCCATTCCTCAATTTACCCTCCCAGAGCACTGAGAGGCGAACAGGGCCACCTGGCCACAAGTAGCTCTGGTCTAGGTGGGTGTGGACCCAATGCCTGGGCTCTTACTCTACTTCTCCACCAACAGAAACAAATACCGGTGTGCATGAGAAAAAATGCAGCAATCAAATCGGCTCTTTCCAGTCCAGCTGCGAGCCATGAGTCACTGAGAGTCCACAGTGGGAAAGCATCTTCTCAAATGCAGGTCCACAAGCCTCGTTAGACACCGGGCCAGCTGCTGGGAATTGCCAGGCCAGCCACAGGGGAAGCACTCATTCAGAATTCCTCTCTCCTACTCCAAGACAGCTGTGGGGGAAACCTGCCTGGGACACAATGGCTTTAAAACGCCATTTGAAGACCTCCCAGAGCAGACACCTGAGCAATGCCGCCCACTGCCATTCTCCTTAGGTACACAAATGCACAGGTGCTCCAGTCCCTTCCATGAGACGGTATGACACTTGAATACTCTATTATCTGCCTGCATACTTCAAGTCATCTGGGTTACCTACGATGTCTGTACGGTTATATGCACTGTGTACAACACTTATGAGTTCAGTATTGTTGACTTCTTAAAAACCACCCCCACCCCACTCTTCAGATAGGGTCTCACTGTGTATCCCTAGCTGGCCTGGAAGTTGCTACAAAGATCTTGAACTCAGGAGATCCACCTGAGTGCCACTATTAAAGGCAGGGGCCTCCACACCAGATGTCATTTTCAGACAGTCTAATTCTGTAGTCCAGTCTAGCCTTTAGTGGCTACCCGTCTTCCGCAACCTCCCTAGTGCCAGGGTTACAGGTGTGACCACCTCACACACATCTTTAGCATTGGTAAGCCTCTGTGGTTGGGCCTCATGAAGACAGGAGGGCTGACTTCTACAGGAAGAGCCAAGGCACTGTCCCCAGGTGACCAGCAGAGGGAGCCATAGGAACAAAGATGTCTTCTTTTTGCTTTTAGGTCGGGTTGCAGTTTTGATCTGCAGGTTTCAGAAGCAAGAGAGACCACTGGCTGGTCACTGCATGCATCAAAACACAGAGAGAAATAGTGTTCTCCATGAAAATGTAACTCTATTATTTTACAAGTGACAAACTGAGGACATACAGTCTGTCCATCGATACGCTGCTTCTCAAACTCTGCCCATAGAGACTTGACTGCACTTCAACTGGTAAATACCAGATTTACCAGTTCCAACAGAAATAACAAAAGCAATTCAAAATTAAGAAAAAAAAAGGGGAGGGGATACTACAATTTTGCTTAAAATCTTGGCTGGACTCCAGTGGCCGACTTCATGAGAGCAAGTCTTTGACCAGGAGTTGCTGGGTGGAGAGGGAGAGACCATGAGGCCCCGGGAAGCAGAAAGGGCGAGGCAAAGCTCAGCTGTGTGTCAGAGCTAATAGTAATTTAAAGGGGTACTAAAAGTCACAAGAAATAAGGTATTTGTTTTAATAAAAATAAACAGTAGCAACTAGATTAAAAGGTGTCTAGTGCAAAAGGCAATTAAGGCATCATAACGTAGACAGCATGGGCAAGTGGGTCTTCTTCCTAAAGCCCCTGGGCTGCTGTGGGGGGTGGGGCAGGTTTCTGTCTGAGGTTGACTGACTTCTCCATTGAACCAATCAGGAAAAGCCTCACCATCCCCCACCCCCCCACCCCATTGCCAGCTTCAGATCCTTTCCAAATACCTTCAAAATCGCCAGTGTAGGACTGACACTCACCCTGGGTCCCCACCAGCACCAGAGGGATCTCGCTGGTGTTCCTGTAGTTGGCCATTCGGCTGTAGTAATGGTAGACCGTCTGGAAACTGATCTCATCCTCCAGGCTGAAGACAAAGATGACTGCGTCCACCCACATGGCGAACTGCAGAGAGAGAAGAGGTGGCTGAGGGGGGCGCAGGAGGAGGAGTGACGCCACACCTTTGCGAGTGCCAGGGTTCCCCTAGGCTGCTGCCTGCTGCCTGACCTCTGCTGCTAAGCTGGGGCTAGGTCACTGATGTGTACATGGGAACGGGACACACCGCTCCCCATGTTTCCACCAGGGCCCTTCGCTTTCTGAGACCCCAGTCCTGTTGTCTCCCTGTGGTCACTGTGATCCCAAGTATCCACCCTCTGGTCTGACTGATCCTGCAGATAGAAGGCTCCCCATCTGGGGACAGGTATGTGTATGTGTGTGTGTATGGGGGGAGAGGGGGTGCCAGTTCCACACAGCCTCCTCAGAACCTAAGAAAAGACTTGGCAGACTGGAGGCTGGGGAGGGTACTGCTCCTCTGTGGCTGCACAGTCTGCGTAAAACTGTCTGGGTGCCCACACTGTCCACCACCCGAGACGAATGGTACCTTTCCCAGTGAGTTCCTGGTACAGCAGAGGCTGAGCTGCCACCAAACTCATTTGGCTCCCTGCTGGGAAATTACTATTTATTTTTAGGAAAGTTAAAAGGGGAGCGTAAGGTTAATCTATACCCAGTCTTCTTATGTCAGCTCCCTAGGGAGGGTGAAGCCAAGGGAGTGAGGCTCCCCGAAGCGCCCAGCACCCACTCTCACAGAAGCTGACATGACAGTTTCTGGTACTAAACACCCTTTTCTTTACATGTATAAACAAACAAGAGAGCCCCTTCTCGAAAGGAAGCTTATCCTAGGTAAGTGCTTACGGCCAAGTCAGGGCTCCCAATCTATCATTGTGCACAAGTGTGAGTGTGAGTGTGTGTATGTGTGTAATAAAGTAATACCCACCTACAACAAACCATATTCATTTAAATGTGGAGTCTGTACACAAGAGACTTAAAACCCTCAAGTTGAATGGTGCATACACAAGTGAAAATGACTTTGGGGAAAAGCTTTCCTGAGGCAGAGCTTCAGACACCATCCCAGCCCCATGTACAGGGCAGGGCTGTGGATGCATAGGAAGCGTGGGGTCCATCTGGCAGGGTGCCTTCTCTTCTCCCTGCCAGGAGGGGAGCCTTTACCTCGGTGATGGTAATGTCAACAGTCTATTTGACAAACCTATGACCCCCTAGGAGACCGGTGTCTGAGCCTGCCTATGGGGACTGTGTTGATCACGATAACTGAGATGGAAGCCACACCCACTCTGGACAGAATCCCTCTCTAGGTGTAAGTCCCAGACTGTTTAAAACTGAGTGCATCAGCTCCCTGCTTCCTGCCCTTGACCATGAATGTCATGTGACTCGCTATTTCAAGTTCCCTGCTGCCCTGACTTTGCCTGAAATAATGGACTGCACCCTGGAATCCCGGTCTCGATAAACCCTCTCTCTAGTAAGTTATGTTGTCAGTGAATTTTATCACAACAAGAAAAGCAATTAAGACATAGTCTCTTTCCGGAGGTGGAAAACGGAAGGCCTTGCCCTGAACGCCAGCACAGGAGGAGGCTAAGTGGCCTCAGGGGAGATGGCAGCCCCTCACTTGAAATCTGGAACATATGTTCACTTCTATGCAGAGGATAGCAAGTCCTCTCCCTCTGTGAGAGCGCTCTCTGTCTCTGTCTCTGTCTCTGTCTCTCTCTGTCTCTCTCTCTCTCCCTCCCTCCCTCCCTCCCTCCCTCCCTCTCATTTTCCCTATTTTCTAAAGGCTTTTGCATCAGAAAATTGCAATTTGGGGAACAAAAAAAACATCAAAGGGCAATAGAATTCTGCACTACCCTAAGTTAACAGTAGTAGCAATTAAAAAAACAAAACAAACAAAAAACCCAACCGTAACAATTTCTTTTATGAAGACATTGCCTTCAGGTAGAGTCTATTTAATGATTGATAACAATGCAAAGAACTGTACCCACAAGTGAACAAGGCTCTGCCATGATGTTTCATGGAGAAGAAGTCTTTAACCAGGAGAAACATGTGGGCTAAACACCACTTAAGAAAAGCCTACACTAGGAGCAAGAGGTGTGTCCCCTCTCAGGGAGCCCACATTGAGAACCCTTCTTAGAGCAGAACGCATTCTTCGTATGCCAAGCCAAGTGAAGAGGGGAGATTTGCCTTTGAGTGGCACTGGTCAGAAGCCAAAGGTCGCTGTGATCCGGAAGCAGGTAGTGTTAGGAGAACATGCCATCAACATTTCCCACTCTCAATGTGTCTTCATGATTCTTTTTCTCTTACAATCAAGTATACTGTGTGATGGTTCAAGTCAATTTGACAGAATCTTGAATCACGTGGGAGATGGTCTCTGGCCATATCTGTTGGTAATTACCTTGACTGAGTTGAGGCGTGAAGACATGCCCACTGTGGGCTGCACCATTCCCTAGCTGAGATCCTGGACTGTACAAGTGGAGAAAGGGGGCTGAGCAGCAGCCCCCCCCCCCCCCCCCCCCCGCAATCATCACTCTCTGCTTCCCGAAGGTGGATATAGCATGACCAGCTGCTTCAGCCTCCTGCCATCTGGACTTCCGGTCATGATGGATTGACTTTGCTCTTGAACCACAACCAAAATAAACCTTTTCTCTCTTAATTTGCTTTTCATAGGGCATTTTACCACAGCATCAGCAAAAGAAGCTACTATATCAAAGATATTAAGGGGAAATAATTTCATCTCAGTATTTCTGACTGCGCCTCTAAGTGTTTTCCATAGCTTCTTCACTGGGAGCACTGCCCTAGACGCTGGTGTTACAGTGATGGGAATGCAGCAACTCACAGCATTTCCAATGGGTACTCGGTTCTTCAGCAACATCTACCTTAGTCACCACTGCTGTGTAATACAACTTTTACTGGGAGAGATGTTCAAGACAGAAATGTCCTAGGAGGTCTGCCCTAGCTGGGTGTGGGTTGTGCTTAGGTCTCGGCTCTTTTCACGAACTAGAAGATCATGGTGTCAAGTAAAACAGTGAGCCAGACAAAAGTGGTGATGTTATCTTTCTAGAGATTTTCCAAGGGAATCACAGTACACTGCAAACTAGTGTTCAGTGGGGACGACGTGGACCAAGAAGGCTGGTGGGAATGTGGTGATCCCCATTCCTGTCACTGCCACAAACAGCAAGTGGGTCGGCCTCCTGATTCCACCCAGCAGACTTTGAAAATGATGTTACTCTGTGATCAAACCAAGAGGGGTGGAGGGAGGCAAAGAACAATTCTTTTTAAAGCACAGAAATTTCCAGAAGCCACTCTGACCATCAATGTCACAGCAGATGCTTTTCCTTCTTAAAAAGATATGAACTTAAAAAAATCAGCCACACAGACCCAAACATCATGAGGCTCTAAATTCCCTTATTCTAATATTTGACATTTCTTGTTCATCAAAGAGCAAAGACAGTCTGGCTTGGATGTGCATGCAGTACTCACCTGCGCCTCCGGGGGACCCCCTTCATCCCTAATCAGCAGCAGATAACTCTGTCCATCAACCACAATCTCCTTCTTGAACCTGCCACCTGCCACGTACAAAACACACGGTTACAGAAGGAAACAGAGGGTGGGGGCAGACAGACACGGGCTTCACTTGCGGAAAAATACTCTCTAGGCCAGGTGGCCGCTGGGGGCTAGCTGGCTGGGAGAACAGAGTAGATTTTAGATGTCTCCCACAAGGGCTGCATTTTTAGAGCTGAACTCTGATCGAACATTTGTTTAAGAACCCATGCTCCCTTCTGATTAGAAGGCACGGCCTCCTGTTGCAATGCCAGGAACCCCGGCTGAGGAGCGTGGACTTTTCATGTAGAACTTAATGCATGAATGGACAGATTCTCACCCACTGGCAAACGGGTGAGGGTGGGCTCTCAAAACCCAGAAATGTTTTTTCAAGCTTAGCAGCACCTGAGAACCTGCATTCTCCTCAAGGGAAACCCAGTGCTTAGGAGGAAAACATACAACAGCATGAGGATGGTATCTCCAGAGTCACAGGTCACAGTTAGGGAAGGATGCCCGACTACTACACACGTTAGACAAAGCTACCAATGGAACTGCACAGTCGAGACAGAGCGGTGCAGCCAACTGACAAGCAGGTGTTAGAGACCACATGGGGTTAGCGAGAAGCCGCCTGGGGCCCTGCTGGGATGTCGGGACAAAAAGGAACGAAGACTGGAAGAGGGAGGCCCAAAGGTGGCCCCCAAACACACCCAGGACTGGACTCGGAGGTCTGCACAGTGGAGACATGCCACCTCCAAAGACAAATTGCTCTTAGACATTCAGGGCTCCAAGTCCCCTCTAGTGACTCTCACAAGGGCTTCTGTCTTACTGTGGGGTGTGCATCAGCTCCTGGTCCTGTGTAGATCCTTCACAGGAACCCAAAGAACCCAGTGAACTCTAAACAAGCCTGCAAGAACCTTCCACAGCCACTTCTGCCCTAAGCTCGGGTCTGGGACACTTCATCTCCCACAAAACTACATAATTACATCTCCACACCAAGTCAAAGTATCTAAGAACTTCATTAAATTAGTTACTTAGGCCAAGGGGGACTGGCTGGCCTTCCCACACAAGCATACAAATTGTGTGCATGTGCTCTCTCCTCTCTTCTCTTGTGTTCACCTAACCTGACTTAACAAGGAATTCTGCTTGCCTTTGCTCCCTTCCAATTCATTCAATGACAGAACACAATGAACACTTCCAACACTGCAATACACAGACACACCCTCAGGCTGGGATCTCCCATCCTGAAAAGCAAAACAGAATCCCAGGAAAGGTTCAAGTGGAGATGTACTGGGGAGTGGGGTCTGTGTAAGCAGGGACAAAATAGCTGCCCCCCCCAAACAAGCTTTAAAACGACCCACGTGGACATGACAAAGCCACAGGAGAGCTCTGTGACTTCAGGTGCCCAAATCAGATTCTTCAGCTAGAAGAGAGATGACAGCCATTCTCAGAAGGGCTTCTGTCACAGCTAACACAGAGCAGACACCCCAAGCACAACAGGGAAATCCTCAGCTGTACCCACACTCTACCACCATTACCAACTCTGTCTAAACCGGGGCTTCCTCCACCTGAGTGATCCCAGAAAGAAAATGGAAGGGACGCCATAGCGATGGGCAAAAAGAGTGTCACAAAAAGCAGTGTGAGCGGCACTGGCTAGCATGGCTACTGCTAATATTCACAACTTCAGCCAAGGGTCAGTCAGCACATGTCTCGAAGAGGACATACCAAACAGTCTAAACTTGCTCACAGAGGCGAATGCATACAAATTGGGGTAAGCTGTCAGTGTTACTTCCTTGATTTTACTTTTGAAATAAGATACAGGGGATCTGATGTTTCTTGATGAAACAGATGAAGTCAAACTTCAAAGGATAAACGATGTTTGCAAAGCAACCTGCCATTCTTGTCTCTGGGAAAACCTATTCCTTCCTATCCTGGACCTAGACATCAGGCTTGGCACACTCACCAGGGTCTGGGGAAAGCAGAATTTGTGTGGAGATTTAAAAATCTTTCCCATGATCCTCTGAGTCTAGCTTTAAAGATACCTGAGTGATTTAATAGCCCAACTGCCAGAGAAACCATCTCTGTGGGTCATGGCAGCTAGCGGGCAAGCCAAGACATACTCTTAGGGCTTTGTACTCACGAGATGAGGTGTGTATGTGGGGTGACCTAAGGGTCTTCCAGTAGGGCACAAAATTTTTCTTCTGGGTTTGGCTGGGACAGTGGGTCCCTCCAGGGGTGGGGATGACCTTGTGGCACTTTGCCTATGTCCTATCCTCACCCCAGAAGTGCCGCCCAGTCATCCCAGCAACCTCTGCCCTGTGCCCATGGAGGGAAACCCCAGGGCTGATCTCTATGAAGCTTCCCTGTCTGGTCTCATGTTCCTGTCCCCATTAGGATGCATTGTCTCCCCAGGAAGAGGCAAAGAATGGGGACCTGGAAGGTCCTGCAGCAGCAGCCTCAGCTCCACCTCTCCAGACATAAGCGCGGACTCTCTCCAGTGACCCTCCCTCCAGCAGACACCCCACACAGTGCTCCTGTCTGCTCCCTTGGACCTTGCCATCAGAGATGCCTCTAGAGAGATGAAACACACTGAACCCAGGGCTTCCCTCACTTTTTAGAAAGCTGGCTTCACAGGTGTCATGACCCCAAGTGAAGGGCTTTCAGACACATCCCACCGCTTCCAAAAGGAGGAAGGTGACTCCTTCCACCCTAAAGGCCTCTGACAGCTCTGACATCACTTATATCCCAGATACAGTACACACAATTCTATTTCAATGCTTCACCCAAGGATACCCATGGGAGACAGACTTGTGTGAAGGCTCCAGAATTTCAGCAAAATCAGGAAACAAAAGCCAACTATAGGGAACTGGCCTGAACCCAGAAGTTTAACAATGAGATAATCCATCCAGGAACCTGGGAATGAAAACTATTGAGAAAGCAACCCATTAATTAAATGGTGCACTCTCACCACTTGGTAACTCTGCTGAGCAGACACACCTGAGTCCTAAGAAACCAGGCCCAGTAAGCTACCAAAATAACACAGGACACCTGTCCTCTCGAATTTCCTAAAGAGGTAAGTGTCATTAGCAGGAGGCTAGTGCCTGGCTAGCATCCCTGCTCTGAGGTCAGGATCCCAAGTTGGAAATTCTAGAAATGGAGTTCCAGCGATCACAACAGCTGGAGCTGGGAACTATTTGCCCAGGCTTCATCAGCCAAGCATCCTTGACCTGAATATCTGATGTTTTCTGAGAATTAAAAGCATTGTAGGTTCTGAGATACTTTGCATTTCTGGTTTTATTGTTCACTACCAAAAATTTCAGGACATAACCAAATTCCAATTTTACTTTTAACATGGATTTGCTTTTTAATGGAATCTACCTTTGCCCAGGGGTCATGCAAATCTTCTCGGCTTTGCCAACTTTAGTGTATGTGCTGCCAACATACATGCAAGTATAGATTTAGAAGTGTCTGTTTGATATCTAAATTCCAAATTATTCTCTTACAGGTCTACTTTCTCTATCCATACATTGCCAGCACCATGGCTGGCCTATGAAGCTGTCCCAAGAATGACTGCCAACTTTCTCTGACTATTGGTTATGATCACCTAACATGACATTGCACCAAGGTAGTTCATTTTCAAAAGGTGTCACCAACCTACACCTGACCTTTCTGGCAGGTATCATTGACCTATGTCACCCTGTTTGTGTGTGCAGGTGCCGACGCCGGAGTGCAGGCCATACACAGTTGCCTCCCAGGCTGGGATCTGAGATGGTGGCGCAGCCATGTTCTCTGGCTTTACAGCACACTTTTAAAGGTCTAATGAGGGGTGTTTCTCACTACCCAACCTCAGCCAATTTCAAGGTGACTATTCTGAGACTTTCACTGCAGGAACCAGCTCTAAATCTGGGGCACCACATGCCAGATAACTGGGTTCCTTCTGTTTCAGTGCACACTGGGAGCAGCTGCCACAGTTTATTCCTCTTGCACGCTGGGTCAGGGTCCCATCTCTGTCCAGTCCTGCTTTAAGGGGTAAAAATAAGAGTAAGTGGAATTTTCCTATTCCAAAAAAGGAGCTGCCTGGAGTAAGCACTGCCACAGATGTCTGCCGTCCCTGTTTCATCATTCTCAATATTTGGACCAAAAGCTATTACAGTATCTCAACAGTTCTCCAAGCCACGAAGAGGGAGGACAATGACAAGTACCCTCTCACATGACATTGCCAAGTATCACAACAGTTATTCCCCACAACTGTCTTGTGACACAATTATCAAAGGCAAGCCCAGGGCCTCTTGGGAGCCATTTAGACACTAAGGTACAGAGGGCCCTTCCCTCAGCCAGCCTGCAGGAAAGTCAGAGTTTCTGATTCCCCAACCATCCACTCTTGCTCATGAACACCAAGTTACACATGACCCTAACGTGACCCTGGCTGCAATCAGTTCAGGAGCCTGTGTGTCATTCTGCGTACTCTTGGGCTGATGTGGAACATGCAAGGAGCTGAAGAAGCCTGCTCCCACTCCACACTCAGTGGCCTATAGCTCAAAACCATCCCTGTGCCTCTGAGACCAGAAGGACAGACCCCTTCAGAAACCATCAGGTCTTATTGGTGTTGACTGTCTGATTCTGTATGTATACTAAGGGCCTGAATAGAATTACACGGAGCCTTGAGCAGCCTTTGTGGGGCCACTGCAAAGGGAAGGACTCATTCTTACATCTGAGCCTAACCCAGTGACCCTGGCAGCAGGTGCCAGCTGGCCCAGAGCCCCGACCCTGACAAGGGAGGAAGAACAGGAATGGATGGTGCTAGGTATTCTCCTGCCTCCATTTAGGAGAACCACTTCTAAGAAGATAACTTTCTTTTCCCCTGAGCTTCATGATAAAACAGGAAACATCCCTGCAAGCATCATGGTCTCCATGTTATCTAAGCAGAGGGGACTGAGAGGCTCTGAGAGCTGCAGGCCTCTGGGCCCTCCCTAAGGAAACATAAAACAAACTAAATCACAGATGTGCCAAACTCCTTTAAAAATTAATG